GATGTAGCTACATGCTTACTAAATGAAAATGATCTCATTTATTCATCTAGTAAGATCACTGAGTAAATAAAATAAAATAATTCTTCAATAAATAAATCAGTATATATCTCTCTCTACAAACATGCATCGAGAACTCTGCTTAAATAAAATCCCACAAGTAGAACTGTTAGATCAAAGGCTATGTACATATTACAATCTAATTTTTCGGATTATACTAACACTTGAATACAGGAGAGTTATTTATCTGTTTCCCTACCCTTATTAACAATGGATATTAAGACAAGAACTATGGTCATCCATCACCCAAATAACTCTTGTTCACTAGAAACTTCCATTCTCCCTTTCTCATGGTTGCTACATACTGCTCATAAATTCACTTTATTCACTGACAGTATATATACAAAAACAATTTCCTACCCTCTTCTGCCTAGCCCTCCCAGTAAAAGCTTGACACTGACTCTGAGTAACTCACTCTCCCCCAGAACCCTGAGCAACCTGTAATTCCATACATCCAATCTTTAATTCTCATGAAAGGAGAGGGGCGCGCAATCTAAAATTTCACTTACTATCAGTAATAATTAAGAAGAGATTATTCTATTATCTGTTGATGATTTTCATTTCCTTAAAGATAACAAAGTTAAATGAAAACTATGCAAGCTTCAAATTTGGACTGGCTATTCTGTGCTGTGCTCTGCAGTAGGCAGGAAAAAGATAAAGATCCCAATCTTCAAGAATCTAACACTCTGGGACATCTGGGTGGCTCAGTCGGTTAAGCATCCAACTCGATTTTGGCTCAAGTCATAATCTTACGATTCATGAGATCGAGCCATGTGTTGCGCTCTGCATTCACAATGCAGAGCCTGTTTGCATCCGCGCGCTCTCTCTCTCTCTCTCTCCCCCCCCCCCGCCCTTCCTCGGCTCTCTTTCTCTCAATATAAATGAACTTTCAAAAAATAAAAAAGGAATCTTACACTCTAAGACGGTGTCTAGACAAATCTAGACCATCTAGACAAATTATCCCTAAGCCACAAGATTTTTATCAGCTGCTTAAGATACTTTTTCAATTGAATTAAGAAAGCTCCTCATTTTGGAGGTGAGAAGACCATGCAGAAGCAACAGGGTATCGCACAAACCAAGAAAAGTTTACTACAAATTGTTGCTACAGCCGGTCTTCCACAGAGCAATAATGGTCATTATGATGACAGCGATGCTTCTATTCTGGAATCTGAACCTAAATTTGTTTAAAAAGATAAGAATATAAGGCTTTCTCTAAAGCACCTGCCATTAAGGGACTGCCTGAACACTATGTGCACCTATGTCTTTAAGACTTATCCTACTGCTGACATCACATATAGGTTCTGGAATAGGTTCTCTGGACTTCTTAAAAAGCATAGTCAAGGGTTGAGCAATGAGGTAGACAGGATCCTTACCACAGATGCTCCGAATGAGGACCAGGTCTGTGACACAGATATAATGGTTTATCTAACACCACTCACCCTCATAACAAGATAGACTTAAAGAACAAATCGTCAAGTCCAAAGCCCTTACTACAGGAAAAATTTGAGGCCAATAATCAACAGGTACCTAAGAAAATGCCTTTAAGACACAATGAAGCATAACTTCAAAGGCTGTGATCCAGATCCCAAGGCTGGCAAGCAGGTAAGGACTGGCTCTTTTTAAATAACTAACTACCTGCAGCAGAGGCCTGGAGTAGGCATTAATCATTACACGTATAAGGCTGTAATTAACAGCTTATAAAAAGCCAAGCTCTTTGTGTTCAGGATGTGGAAAAATGGACACTGGACCATATATAAGACACATCCATAAGCTGAGACACCCAATCAAGCAGGCAGTTCCTACTTCTCACTATGTATCTAGCATTACAGCATCATCTGTTAGTATATAACAGTACAGTCTATATGATTAACTTAGCTTTTAATTCAGTTCTGTCCATTTGACTTGAACATATCATAGAAAAATTATGTGAAAAAATAAAATATCAAAGAGCCTGCCTATCCAACAAGTAACTCAATAGCTTTCTTTTTATCTCTGATGTTTTTTTAACACTTACAGTCACGTATATATCATAATGCTGTCTGTCTATCTGCAGCCAGGTGGTCTGGTTCAATTTCTCAATCTGCCATGTAAGAGCTGTGAAAGTGACAAGCTACTTTATCTTTTTGTGTTTCAGTCTCATCTGTAAAATGGGGATAATAACAGAACCTACGTTATAAAGTGATTGTGGAGATTAAATTAAATACATGTAAAACAACTGGAATAATATCTGTCACAAAAGTTGAATGGAAGAATTTTTGAAAGCCAAGTTCAATCAATATGGCCTATCTGTGAGACTGAATACAATATTATGTATCCATAACAGGTCTTGCAGCTGCGTAACAATTTTATGGCGCTTTAGAGTGTTTGTAGCATATAAGCTATTACTGATGACTTAAGGCACTGTGCATGAAACATGCTGCCTCTCTCCTTACCACCGCCACCCACCCCCAAAGAAATGTTCCAAAGATATTTTTATTGTTCAAGTCCTATCTAGCTCGCAAACACAAGGTGAATCACTAACTATCCAGAACTGTCCCGGTCCTGGTTTACGTTCTCTCTGCCAGCAGAATCAGAAGGAACAAAGAGTGGTCTCCAAATCACTTTGAAAGCATATACTATCCAGTGAGTGTTGTCGCTCTCAAACTACAAAGGATCTCAAGAATGTTTGCTCCTACGTTCCATATGGCACTGAGGAAATTCTGGGCACTTGATAATGTCCCTGGAGAATAAAAAGCCAGTATTCACCAAATTACCCCTCTTTGCTGCCAAAGAACAATGGGGCTTCAGTAATTTTCTCCTGTTATAGCAGAAATAGATAGGGCATAACTTCAACATTAGCAAAATGTGAAGATCACTCCAGTGTGTACTTATTCCACAAATCAGCCTCTGGGCTGGTCAGCATGGCTCCCTGCTTTGGCCAGAGACTATCCCTAACCCCTAACATTTCAGCTGTTAGAAAACGATAGCTACAGATGAGAAAATGCGGCTCTGAACTAACCCCTCTCAACTTGGAAAAAATAAAAAGCAAAAGCCTCATCGATTTAATAATTCAAAAAAAAATTACCAGTAAATTCACCCAGTAAACCCCTTGAATTTCTAAGATGGGGACCTCATTTTATTTATCAAGCACTCAGTAAGGGCCTTAATCTAGAATATACTCAGGAAATAACGTTCAACAGTGACTGAATGAATGATCATGTATTCTACACATAATTTCTATGTTCAACAAAAGGGTATCTTGACAATTATATTTCAAAATACTTTCTTAGTTCTATGGATGACGAAAAACACATTACTAGTTTTTCCATTCCAAGCAATCTGTTAAAGGAAACATTACTTATAAACAGATTCTAAGTTATCAGGATGGTAAATTAAAAATGTACTTTTGTGTTTTGGGTACATTTTTAAAACCATTTGTCAGATTCTCATTCTGGCAGGATTCTTATGACTAGCCACATTACTTCTTGAGCTTAAAATGAATCCGTAGAATCTAGCTTCTTCCAATTAAGTAATAAATGCATATGGCTCTCCAACATTATTAGTTATATATGTCTTTAAGAAAATTATGAAATATGTTTTCATGTTCCATCTGTTTGTACAAAAATTAGCTTACTTTCCTACTTCTTAAAATACCCCCACTGGTAGGTAAAATCACTGTTTCTATATTACCTGGCCAGATTATTTTTTCCAGCACAGGACCTAGTCACACAGAATACACTCACTCTGGCCTATCTAAACACAGTGTCCCCTAAAAAAACTAATAAAGCAATGCTGTGATGCTAACTGCTAAGATCAATTTATTTCTGAAAAGATTTCAAGCACTTGGAATTCCAGTATCTTTGCCATACATTTTCTACTCTAGAAAATCTGTGTCCGTTTCTGAAAAGAGAAATATGCACAAAAGTCCTGGGAGTTGGGTATGTGGTGTGTGTGTGTGTAATACAAGCACCAAATCACAGCTTAAGAAAGAATCCAAATCTGTCTTAATCTAAAAAAGATGCAATACCCACACTGGGGGCTAAAGAAGAGGGGCCAATTTTCAAAATAAAGAGTTAATACCATGTATTTCCTTATATAAACGGTTGTTAAGACAATCATGACTAGGAGAGAGCTGAATTAAAGAAACAAAGATTGCAAACAAAAGTTGAAGAACTTTCCTTAACATGAAGGGGACAAAAACCTGCATCTCCCCCACGCGCCACCCCACAGCCACATGAATTTGTTCCCTCTGCATCAAACACGACCCACTCTCTCCAAGGTTGACTAAATGCCAAGTTTACCTGACCCTGAGGGCCAGTAACTGTCCATCTTCTGAGTTCAAACATTTTGTTGGACATCCAAGATATTTATGCTTGAATTTTACCACTTCCAGCATATCCTAAAAGATCTCACCACTCATCTACAGCCCCTAAAACTACAAACCAGGGACAGAATGGTTCACTTTTGCTTATCATCAAAGCATAGAGCAGATGCAAGTAAGTAATAAAACATAGAAAGTTTCCCATTCCAGAGTTCCTCAACAGAAAATACAGTCTACAAAGCCAAGAGTCACCTGCCTGGGAACCAAATCTTGTGTTTCAGTTCTGGGACTCTAATGACTGACTCCTTAATGTTCTAGAAATCTGGAGAAGACCAGAATTTCCTAAAATAGTGTTTGCTGGATATTGCTCTACAGAATGCTAACAGGTATTCAAATCAATTAGGAAAGTCTGGATTAAAATAAAGCTAAAATGGTTACTTTACTTCAAAACACTCGTAGGGCTTTAATAGGGTAATAACACTATAAATTTTCAAGATAAAATTCCAGTATCAGGCCTATAGTAAACTAATTTGAGCAAGATCATGAGAGAGTTTGGAAATGCTTCAAAGTAGGCTGTTGTGTATTTCTTCTAATTGTCACAACATTACTGAATACTTCACATCAACTTCTAAGAAGTTCTTACCTGATATGTGTTGCAGGCAGAGATTCATACTGGCGGGACAAAAAGAGCTCCCGGTGTTTCAACTGATGTTTCTGTTTGTCAGTCAAGTCCGCCTCAATTGTTGTTTCAGATTCTTCCTCAATTTCTTCTACACAAATAAAATTCAAACAATGTGTTATTACAAAGCACATTTTATCTATCTGGATATTAAGAGAGGTCACCCTTTCATTCAGTATTTTCTTCAAACCAACAGATTTTATTATTTTTTATTTTAAACTTAACAGATTTAACTTGTTATCTGAGTTACAACCATAAAATGACATTAATCAGGCCACAAACAAAGAGGAAGAACTCTAATTTTAAAATGGCAGATGGGGGCACCTGGGTGCTTCAGTCAGTTAAATGTCCAACTTTGGCTTAGGTCATGATCTCGTGGCTCGTGAGTTCAAGCTCCATGTCTGGCTCTGTGCTGACAACTCAGAGCCTGGAGCCTGCTTCAATTCTACCACCCCCCGCCCCCCCCACCACCTCGCAAAAATGTTAAAAATTTTAAATAAGATAAAAATAAACAAAATGGGAGATGGAACATATGCATATACCTCCTCTTCCCCCATAAAAATCACACCAAACAGCAATTAAAATGTACAAACATTTCAATGAGAGTAAAAACGGGAGCAATACTGGAACAAAACCTTTTGGCCAAAAAAAAGTTTTAGAAGATGGAAAGCAAATGCAAACAAACACACACACACACACACACACACACAAACCCAGAAAGCACACACTTAGCCAAAGAAAGGAAGTGACAATCTATATTTGTATAGACAGGTGCAAAGAGAAGGCAAGCACAAAGCTTGAGGTGTCTTAGCCCTCAAAGATACCATAAAGTGCAGGGAGAGAAAGAGGAGTGGGCGAGAGACAAAGCCAGGAAGAAAGGTTGAAAGTCAGTCCACTGACAACACTATAACTAAATCCCAGCATAATCAGTAAAAAAGAGAGAAGATAACACTTTTAAACTTTGGTAACACAAACAAAAAGCTAATAGGATTGTAAAGTACTATTAAGGTAATCTCTCAGAAATTTCAACACTAAGACAAAGAGACAAATAAGCAAAAACCAAAAGATTTTTAAAAACTAAAAGATACTTCATAAAGTCCAAAATCCCAGGAATAAAATTTCCGGACAGAAACAACAGGGAAACATATTTCCTTGTCTCTTTTGGTAGCGAGAGGGTGTGGGGGAAAACTTCTCAAAAAAATGATTCAAGAACATTTCCTCTTTTTGTGAAAGAGGAGTGTCCAGACTGAATTTCTAGCGCACTTAATTTAAAAAAAAAAAATTCTTAAATGTTTGTTTATTTTTGAGAGAAACAGAGTACAAGCAGGGAGGGGCAGAATGAGGGAGATGCAGAATCCGAAACAGGCTCCAGGCTCTGAGCTGTCAGCACAGGCACCGATGAGGGGCTCAAACCCATGAACCATGAGATCATGACCTGAGCCAATATCAGACGATTGACCAACTGAGCCACCCAGGTGCCCCCACACTTAATTTTTTTAAGTGCTAACATGAGATCACGAACATTTACAGAAAAGAAACATAGGTCACATGCAAAGAAACTAGAATCAGAATGGAACTCTAAGCTGCTATCCAAGAGGGAAAATGGCAGTCACCCTAGAATTTTACTTGGTTTCTTGTTTTGTTTTGTTCTGCTTTGTTTTTAATTTGAGAAAGACCAAGTGCATACAGGAGCAGGGGAGAGGGGAGGGGGCGGGGAGTTAGGAGAAAATCCCTAGCAGGTTCCAAATTTATCGTGGAGCCCAACATGGGGCTCAGCCCTGGGATCATGTCCTAAGCTAAAATCAAGAGTCGGACACTCAACTGACTGAGCCACTCAGGCGCCCCAGGATTGTATTGTAAAGTGTAAATTATTTATCAAGTCTGGAAACAGAGTAAGAACAATCTCTTTCGTTCAACCAAGATTTATTAAACGCCCAAAAAGGCACTATTTGAGGGATTGGAAACAAGCAGTGAGCAAAAGTTATTGAGAAGCAGCATCAGAAGCAAGGGACAGGAAACAGCAAAGTATTATATAAGTTTGAAAAAAAACTGCATTTAGGGGTGCCTGGGTGTCTCATTCAGTTAAGCTCCAACTTCAACTCAGGTCACAATCTCATGCCTTGTGAATTCGAGCCCCATCTTGGGCTCTGTGAGGATGGCTCAGAGCCTGGAGCCTGCTTCTTCTGCTCTCTGTCCTTCCCCAACTCGTATTCTATCTCTCAAAAGTAAATAAACATTCAAAAAATAATAATAAGGGCATCTCGGCATCTCAGTCGGTTGGGCTTCCAACTTTGGCTCAGGTCATGATCTTACAGTTTGTGAGTTTGAGCCCCACATTGGGCTCTGCGCTGACAGCTCAGAGCCTGGAGCCTGCTTCAGATTCTGTGTCTCCCTCTCTCTCTGCCCCTCCCCTGGTTGGACTCAGTTTTTCTCTGTCTCTCAAAAATAAACATTAAAACATTTAAAAAATTATACTAAAAATTTAAAAGCCGCCTTTAATAATCTTTTTAAAGGGGTACCCGAGTGACTCAGTCTGTTAGGCGTCTGACTTCAGCTCAGGTCATAATCTCACATTTTGTGAGCTCAGCTCAAGCCTCACGTCAGGCTCTATCTACACTTTATGCTGACAGTTTGGAGCCTGGGGCCTGCTTCAGATTCTGTGTCTCCCTCCCTCTCTCTCCCTGCCCCTCCTCTGCTGCCCCTCTCCTGCTCACGCTCTCTCTCTCTCTCTCTCAAAAGTAAATATTAAAAATGAAATATTTTTAAAGAAAAAAAATGACCAAGTGTCATTTACAGATATAATTCCAAATAATTTTAGATACAAAAATTTCCTAATATATCTCTTAGGGCTCACAGATCCTCTGCAGTCTTACCTGGACCAGACTGTGGGAACATCAGGGGCTCTGAGGACTCAGACAATGATACTAATGGAAAGGGGTGGGGGTGGGGAGGGTTGCTCTTCACTTAGAAGAGCTTAAGTTTAGGACTCTAAGATCTTAATTTTGGGACACTGATGGGCACCACACCCCCCAGGGACACACAGAAATATATACACATATGTTATATTCCTCCCTATTCTTCTAAATTCCTATTTGTAGACCCAGAACCACAAGAGATTTTATCACATATAATTCTCTAGCTATAGCAGAGCTTTTCAACTGCATGAGGATAATGAAAAGGCTAATAAGCATCAGATCTTTTCTACAATACTTTCAAATTTTTAAAACTCTGTAATTGAAAATGAACCTGAAAAACAGATTTAGAAAAGACTCACCTAGCTCAAAAAAAAAGACTAAAATGATTTTAAATTCTTTGAATATTCTTTTTAATGAACTACTTACTCAAAGAGAAACACAGCCCTAAAAGAGCCATTTACTTGCATAGATATTTCACCAGTGGAAATCAATGAAGTTATTGCTGCATTAGCACTATCAGCACCAGCAAATATCACATATAAAATTATACTCTTTACTTAATTAGGATTTGATAAATTGTTGTTCTGTAAAACGCAAGCTAACTGAATTCTAATGCATACCCTGTACAGCTAAAACCACAACAAACTCTACCAATAACAGCAGCAAATCTTATTCTCTTATACAACCTCCTAGTGCAGCATGAAAAGGACTGGAATCTCTTATGTGCAGCCACAATGAAAAGAGAAATCACCACAACAGTACCTAAAAGTCACCTTCAAAATGTACTAGTTAAATTTCATTTACATGTTTTTATAAATTTACATTGGCTTCTAAATAGGAATGATTCTCATGCTATTAACATCCTAAAAATATTAAAGAGTCACAATGGCAAAACTGGGATTTAGACAATGAAAAAGTTTAAAAGATCTTATCATCAGAAATTGGGTACATGGTAATATATTCATAATTTTTAAAAACCATTTTACCAAGTTTGATGGAACATCAAATTTGCTCCCTTCTAGCAGTTATTAAAGTATAAGAGAGACTGATACCAAATTATTTTCTATACTTTCTTTATAGTTGGAAAACTTTCTGTACAGTTTACTAGCGATAAGACCCTGACGAGAAGCGTAGAGCGGAGAGAAACAACAGAGAAGGAATCTGTGCAATGGGATTGTATAAACTCTCTACTCTTTTTTTTTTTTTTAAATGTTTATTTATTTCTAGGAGACAGAGAGAGAGACAGCGTGAGCAGGGGAGGGTCAGAGAGAGAGGGAGTCACAGACTGAAACAGGCTCCAGGCTCCAAGCTGGCAGTCAGCACAGAGCCTGACGCGGGGCTCGAACCCACGAACTGTGAGATCATGACCTAAGCGAAAGTCGGACGCTTAACCAACTAAGCCACCCAGGCACCCCTAAACTCTCTACTCTTAATACTAGTATCTTCTGGGACGCCTGGGTGACTTAATCGGTTAGGCATCCAACTCTTGATTTTGGCTCAGGTCATGATCTCATGGTTCGTGAATGCTGTGTCGGGCTCCATGCTAATATCACAGACCCTGCTTGGGATTCTCTCTCTCTCTCTCTCTCTCTCTCTCAAAATAAATAAATAAACTGAAAAAAATACTAATATCTTCTGTTTTAGTAGTATGGGCCACATAATGCACAACCCACTAAGGCTCTTACGAATTTCAAAGTTTTAGACTGCAGGATGAGAAAGAAGCCATAGCCAAAAATCTCAGCAAGGCTAACTACACATGCGGGCTGAGAGGGGATGGGACAAAGTGAGTACACACAGTGTCCAAGAAGTGGGGGTCAGAAAGCAAGTCAAACTAGCCAAATAGTCCAGAGCACCAGAACATCCACCAGACTGAGATCAGTCTTCTCAGCAGTAGGTTACTATCAGGAACTTGGACAAAGCTTTAGAAAATGGGCATGTGATACGTACAAGACCAGATACCACTGATGAATTTAGGTATCTGAACAAGGGACAGAAGAGAGGGAAGGAGTAGCTTTACTTGATTCTAGGTACTTCTGGACTTGAAACGGTGTTCTTCAGAATAGTTTAGCATTCTAATTCCTACCAGTTAGTTGGGAGGAATGAAGGGAAAGTAGACAGAAGGAGAGTCCTCCACAGGCTTCTCCCAATCTTCCTTAGGTCTCTATTTAATGGAATA